GTGAGCATGGCTATGGGCAGGGAGCTCCATTCCTTTAAATCCAGCCAATATTTACCAAGTTTCTTCCATATATACCACCTGTTTCTCTTTGTCCTAAAGTGTCCTTGAGATAAACATCCCTGTGACACATGCCTTTTAATATTTAGCAACTTGGTGTCCTTCTTGTTACTAGACAATGAAAGTTTATGATAGGAAAAAAAATTGTTTTTCCTTCTGTACTCACACTCATCACAGAATATTTTGCCTCTGTTCACCGAGATGTATATGAGGCTTTCCCTCATACCAACAACCAATTCACTATGTCACCTTTGATAGAGTGCGGTAGTGTCACAGCTCACAGCCACTTCAAACTCTTGGGCTCAAGCAATTCTCTTGGCTCAGCCTGCCAAGTAGATGGGACTACAGGTGCCTGGCACAATGCCTGGCTATTTTTTTTGTTACAGTTGTCATTGTTGTTTAGCAGGCTCAGGCTGGGTTTGAACCTGCCAGCCCTGGTGTATGTGGCTGACACCCTAACCACTGAGCTACAGGCACAGAGCCTACAAAGGATTTTTTATTTTATTATTATTATTATTATTTTGCAGTTTTTGGCCGGGGCTGGGTTTGAACCCGCCACCTCCGGCATATGGGACCAGTGCCCTACCCTTTGGAGCCACAGGCACTGCCCGGATATTTTAAAAGATACAAATAAATAGGCAGAGAAAGAAGTCAATGGAGCAAGGTGTGGGGGAGGGGCACAAAGCTCTGCACCCTCTGCAGACATGCCCCCCTCCTCAGGTTCCTCCATACACTCAACAGTCTAGAAGCTCTCTGAACCTGGTAGTTCAAGGATTTTTGTGGAGGCTTCATCACACAGGCATGATCAGTTATTAACCCGGTCCCCAGCCTCTCTCTGTTTCCTAGAGAATGGGAGATGAGGGGTGGGGCTGAAAGATCCAAACTTCTAATCATGACTTGGTTTTTCTGGAGACCAGCACCCATCCAGAAGCCCAACAAGGGTTGCCTCATTAGACCAAAAGATTCCTATTACTGGGGAGAGCCCAGGGGATTGGGAGCTCTGTGTCAGGAAGTAGAACAAAGACCAAATATTAGAACAGAAGATTCCTTTAGTACCCCTACTGCCCAAGAAGTTGCAAGAGTTTCAGAAGCTCTGTGCCAGGAACCTGGGTCAGAGACCAAATATATATGTTTTATTATATCACATTATCACAGAAAGGTATACAAGTCATCATATTTCTCTTTTGACCTTGGCCTTAAGGAAGCTCAGATATGAATTCTGTGCTTCATAGCAATAGCCATTCTTAGCCATGTGTCTGGTGCTGCTGTCTCCCATCTCCCACCTGACTGTGATTCCTCTACATTGCTTTAGTGTGTCTTTTATCAAAATCCCTTCTTTGAAAACAGGCAATCATTCCAATGTGCCAGGCCTTGTCCTGGAGGAAATTGGGATCACAAATCAACACAAAGATGACCAAGAGTCAAAGATGACTCAAACAGTTCTCAGGCGAGGAGTGCAAATGGAAATAATCAAGGATGCACATCAGGGCATCACAGGGAGGGCGCACAAAGACAAAGATGGGGGTGTGATGAGCATCTCTGGGGCCCAAGTAAGCTCGTGGTTCTACCTGGCTACAGAAACAGGAAGCCTTCATAGATGAGGTGGCTTCCAAATGTGAGTGAGGGACAGTAGGATTTCAGCCAACAGCTTCAAGGGGAAGTTATGCCAGGCAGAGGAAGTGACATGGATGTGGGAACATGGGCAGGAAGGACAGGGTTAACAAGGGTGGGATATTGTCACTCAGCCACCTGGCCCCTCTTGCAGGGTGTGATCACAGTCAAGGGCCTGGTGGACCGGGAGAAGGGTGACTTCTACACTTTGACAGTGGTGGCAGATGATGGCGGCCCCAAGGTGGACTCCACCGTGGTGAGTGGGTCCCCAGGTGTGAGCCCCACAGGTGCAGCCCATCACCACCCAAGACACTAACAAACCCCCATCTTCGCTGCCACCCAACCTGTGGGCCAGGCAGTGGGCAGGAGTCTTGATAGCTAGCCCAGGGGCAGTGCTGTAGCCAGCCATGCCACGCCTCCCCAGCAACCTGGGCCAGGGTGAGACCTCAGACAGGTGGGAGGTGGGGTCTGCAAGAGCACAGACTACTAACCGTCTGCATCTTTACCTTTTCCCTTGCTGCCCTCCTACTGCTGACTCTGAATACAGAAGGTGAGTAGCCTGTGGACCAGGGCTCTGCCTGTGCTGGTAGCCATGGCCAGTACTGATTCAGCCCTGCATGGCCCTGGGCCTTCCCACCCACCCCAGAGGGAGGGCAGTAGACAAGCCTACAGCAAGTCCCCTCCGCAGTCCCTACACTGTCATACCTGGAGTCCAGGCCCCTCTCAGGCACATCCCCTGTCTCTGCCCTCCCTGTCTGGCCCAACCCCCGTGGGAACTGGGGTGGAGGTGCACTAACAACAGAGTAGCTACAACATGCAATGGAAGACCTCCCAAGTCCCAGCTCTGCTTCTCATTGGCTGTGTCACAGGCAAGCCGCTTAAGCTCTCTGTGCTTCTCTTTCTTGGGTCTAAAATGAGGGTCACGCCAGCATCTCTGCTTTCTCAGAGGATGTGATGAAAGTAGTGGGAAATGGTGGGTAGGAAGCTCTTTGTAAACCAGTCCTGGTGGTGGGTGTGAAGGCAGTGATGTTCCCTCCTGGTGCCTCAGCTGTCACATCTGTAAAGGCGACTCCCTCCCTCTATTGGAGGTTGATATAGGCATGTGAAGTGGGGTGCCCAGTGCTAGAGCCTTAGAAGTTCTTGGGAAGGGCTGCTGAGGGCAAGCCTCTGCCCTAGGATAGCCTCTAGGTAAAGGCAGGGAAGGCTGGGTGCTGGGGGCACTGTGTGGGGAGGGCTCTGGGGTTAGAGATGTTAGACAAGGTTTCTGGGCCATTCCCCCAGCCTGAGCGGAAAGACAAGCAGGGGAGCTCGGGCGGAGCTTGAAATGGGAGTGGGTCCAGGGATGGCCGCCTGAGAGGGGACGGGGGTGTGGCTTCCTATGGTGATCACAGAGTAGCGCTCAGCAATTGATCTGAACACCCACCAGTTGGGTCAGCTGCCATCTAGAGCCCATATGGGGTGTCCAGATGATCATCACTACCTCAGTCTTGGGCACAGTCACATTATCACGCCCTACTGCGTCCCTTTCACATTAGCCTAGTGGGGAGAAGCCAACCCAGTGTCCAGTCTAAGAGCCAAATACAGCTGCTTGGGGTCCTCAGCCCCTTAAATCCCTGGAGATGCCTGCATCCAGCGGCCCTTGTTGAGGCTCAGCCACACCTGAAGGCCCCTTCATCACCCCCCTGGGGTCCTCAGGGGCTGAAGGAGTCTATGATCAGCATGACCCCCCCCCACAGCTCCCCTCAGAAAGTCCTGGAGGATGGCACTGAGCAAGTCTTTGGGGCAGAAGGTAGAAGGCAGTGCGGAGTCCTGCTGCTCCCAACGAGGCTCCTGGCTTGCCCGTCACAGGGGCTAGGACGCAGGGAGGGAAAGGAGGCCTTCTTAGCCTCAGTACCTTCATCCATAAAATGGGCCCAACTGGCCCTCGCCCATGGTCAACATGATGAATCTGGAAAGTGAGGCCAGAGGGGCCTGAAAGGCAGCAGAGATGGCCAGGGTGCCCCTCTGTGGACCAGGCAGCCACTTCCTCTACACAGTTGGCAAGGGCTTCAGAGTGCACACTCCTGCGTGGGCCCCTGTGTTTCCATAGTCACTTCACCGTCTTCCAGGAAACAGGGCTACCCCGCTTTGTTCTACCCTGGCTTCCTCTCAAAAGCTCCTAGGCACTGCTGCCCCAGATATAACAGCCCACGTCACCCCAAATGCTCTGTGAGGTGCTAGGGTGGAGGCAGGGGAGGGGCACTTAAAAGGCAGTCTAAGAGCTACTGTTTCCTCTGCGAGGCTAGAACCCAAACCACAGCTCACCTCCACCTGACTCCTCCCTGTCCCTAGCGGCCCTGGAGGCCGCAGGATGGGTGGGCAGGCAGACAGGAAGGGCAGAATGGGTGGGGGTCGACTCTGCTCTGGAGGACTTGAGTAATACTCTCGGGCCTTCAAGGGGTGGGGGGAGGGAAGTGTGACCCATGAGGCCTGGGGGAGGTAGGCACGCAGCTCCCTATATAATTCCATAGACTTGGGCACTTGTCCTCCTGGCTGACTCCCTTCCACTGGGAGGCCCAGCAGCACCCTCACCCTTACCTCATAGCCAGCATATTGATCAGAGTAGCAGTCATGGCCTGAACACCTACTATGTGACAGGCACCAGGCTCAGGCTACAGAATAAAACCAAAATCAGATAGAGCACCTACCTTCCCAAGCACAAGATACAGCGAGAGAGAGATTGAACAAATTATTGCACCAGAGAATGTATTCCTAAGAGAAAGCCTGTAATAAGAGGTAATTCAAGTCAGAGACAGCTTTCCTAAGGAAGTGACTCCAGCTGAAACCTGCATAACGCATAGAAGTTAATGCAGTTAAAAAGGAAGAGCACGCTGTCCCTGACAGCAGGGACAGCATGTGCAAAGTCCCTGTGGTGTGAGGAAACAGTGAGGCAAAACAGGCCTTAACCAGAGTGAGGGTGTTTGGGGGGATGAAATTACGCAGGCCTTGTCTGTGTTCACCCTGAGAACAATGGAGAGGCGTTTTTCCCATTTCACAGGTGAGCAGACCATTAGGGGCTCCCTAACCATAATTCCTGACCTATAGGCAGAGTCTTGGTGAGAGAAACCACCATGAATGTGTGCCAGGCAAGAAGCAGGGTTGGGGACAGCAGTGTGCCACCCCTTCACTTCCTGACTGCATCCTCCCAGCATCCAGGGTGGCAGGTATTCTCATTTTGGTTTTCAGCTGAGGAAATAGAAAATCAGAGCGCTTGAATAGCTTTTTGCCAAAATCACAAGGCTAGTGAGTGGAGAAGTCGGTCCTGCTATGAAGCCGACTCACTCCCCTGAGATTCTGCCAGCTGCCTAAAGATAGGGGAGTGTGGCTAGAACTGACGAGGGAACCTGCTATGAGAGAGGACGAGGTGGCATTTCCCCAGCAGTGTGGAGAGGCCGGCAGGCCTGGGGAAGTGCAGTGGAAGGGGGCCTGCCCTGAAAGTCCCAGAACCCGAGCCTCCTACGACCCTCCTCATGCTCTGTCAGTGAGCACAAGGGTGCCTGGGGTCCCGGCCTCTGTGGTCTTAGCTGTCCATGGGCTGAAGCCTTTGCCCACCGTGGGCTTTCTTTCCTGGTACACTGTCCTACCTCCACAAGAAGCCCGAGCCATGATGAAACATTATGCTCTTTGCCAGTCAGAGGGGCTTGGACCGTGTGTCCTCACACCCCAGGGACTTTGCTCTTCCTTTTTAACTGCATTCACTTCTATGCCTTCTGCAGATTTCAGCTGGAGTCACTTCCTCAGGGAAGCCCTCTGACCAGGCAGTTTTTATCTGACAGTTGAAAATTCATCTGTCTTCTCCATATCCCCCTCTCCCCAGCGGGACCACCAAGCCACCTCATGGCCTCTCCCATTCCTGGGTCCATTCCTTCTCTCTGACCCAGAGGTTGCAAACAAGGATGGTATGGGGCAATATCTGGCCATCATATGTGTTTTCGTCAGCCCACGCATAATTTTCTTTTTAAATTTGTATTACTCATCAGCTAATTTCGCTTAAAAATCTGGATTCCTTGTTTCTTTTGAAAAACAGGAAGCTACGGCGATGCCAGGCCAGCATTCCCAGCCTCTGGGCCTTCTAGCCAGGACACAGCTTCCCAGTTGCCTCCATCCCCACCACCTCTGAGAGTCTCCCCAGCATTCCTCTTCCCTTGCCCTCCTGGCTCCCAACATTTGAGTGCCAGGACACCCCTAGGCTGCCAGAACAAATGGGCTCAGGGCCTCTTTTGTAAGTCAGGACTGACTTCAGTGGGCTCTGAATAGCTCAGGGATATTCCAGAGCTGATCGGGGTCTGGTTCCTGCTGGACCCACTGCAGGGACTAGAAGTTTGGAGCTGCGGGGTGGGGGTGCGGGAAGGAGGTGGTAGGCCTCTGACCACATCCAGCCCCACCCCCAGGTCTATATCACTGTGCTGGATGAGAATGACAACAGCCCCCGGTTTGACTTCACCTCCGACTCAGCGGTCAGTGTACCTGAGGACTGCCCTGTGGGCCAGCGAGTGGCAACTGTCAAGGCCCGGGACCCTGATGCTGGCAGCAATGGGCAGGTGGGCACCCAGTGAAATCAGTAGGATCTCTCCTATCAGTTGGGACCCCACAGTTCCTCCAGGTAGAAGGGCCATCTAAGCCGTC